CCATCCATCCATCCATCCATCCATCCATCCATCCATCCATCCATGGACAGGTTGCCAGTCCATCACAGTCCAACACAGAGACACAGTGCCATCCCCACACGCCTAAGGACGACTTAACAGTCATGTTTTAGGACTGTGGGAGGAACCAGGAGGGAAGCCATGCATGCACAGGGAGAACATGCAAACTCCATGCAGAAAGAATTAAACCCAGGACCTTCTTACTGCAATGCAGCAGGGCTACGACTGACTACTTACAAACTGTCCAGTTGGGTGGAGGTTTGACAGGACCCAAACAAAGACACTGAAGCTGATGGTGGTTACTTGCAGATTTAATAACAAAATAGCATAACAGATGCAGAATTTCACAAAGAAATCCACAAAATGCACAAAAATACCGAAAACCAGGAATTCTAACAACAAGGGGGCAAAGAAATGATGACAAACCAGCTGCAGTGACTCAGCCAGAGGTGCATATATGGGAGAGAGAAACAAAAACCAGGCTATTCAGCAGATTGGGAGCAGGTGTGGACAAAGGAGTCTAGAAGGGAGCTAGGGAGAAGAAGAATGATGCTAGAGGGCAAACAAGAAATATCTAAGAACTCAAATACAGTCAAAAATAACTAGAACACAAGGATGGACATAAGATAAATGAAAACTCAAAAATAAAATTTAAGCAGAACCAAAACCATGACATAAACCCGCTGCTTGTTTTACTCATTCAATTATCCTCTTAGTTGATTCAACAAAATACTGTGAGAAAGCTGGGATGTTCAAACTGATCTACACAGCAGCTTCTGTCCATCTAAGTACGTCATGTAACCCAGACATTTAAATAAATGGAAATAAACTGTCTGGCTGCTCATCAGCCCTCCTTTGGCTAAAGCACTGACTACTCAGAGCTACTTTACAGTCTTCAGATCTACTTCACTGCACAGTAGCAACGTTTTCCTCTTGTTTCTAAACTGTAAGGAACAACGCTGCTTTTCTATCCCAGGTTTTCTGAATCTTCAATCCTCTCCATTATTGTCTTTGCTGATCTTAGGCCCTCAGTCCGGAGGAAAGCACCAGCTGCTATCATGGGCTTTTTTTCCAGGATGGTCAGCGGCGCGTTGACTACGTTCTCACTTATCCTCTGAGGAAGTCAGGTGGAGGCCGTTCTAGTCGACAGTCAGACCACAGTCTGACGGAGAATCCTGTCTCCGGCAACCCAAGTCCCAACAAGCCGGTCCAAGCCGGATCCACGGTGGCTGATGTGGAAATGGGCGTTCTGGGAGAGACGTTTAACAGCCACGAGGATCACAAAGCCTTCAGGAGGGAGGAGTTTGAGAAAAACCTGAAAGACATGGGGCTGGAGCTGGAAAAAGACGAGGAAGTGAGTCAATGTTTTCATTTCTAAAAAGTTTAATGGCTGCATTTTACATGGATAGAAAAACTAATACAGAAATATTCAGCCTGATTTTAATGCTCATGCTGCACGAAACAACAGATTTTAAATATTTATTTCTCATTTAGATCTGGGTGCATTTTGCAATGGTTGATGGTTAGAATCCTGCAGAAACGCCAAAACCTCTAGCTCTCATACAAGAACAAAAGTTCCTGCTCTTCTGTTTGGATAACCAAGAACTGACTTTAATGGGAATTTTGAAAAAACAAAAACAAAACAAAAATATGTTTGTAAATACAACAAATAACTGATATTACTCATATAAATGAATTTATTTTTGCTTTATTAAGTTTATCTTCAGATTGTTTTCTACCTCTACTTTCAGCTTCATCGCTGGATTGCAACTGATTCCACAGAAAAACAAAAACAATCAAATTCTTTTCCTAAAATCACTTGGTTTCAGTTTGGAAAATGAGGATTTAGTTCTGGTTTCAGGTTTGGTGCCAGATAACTTTTAGGTTTACTGATAAAATGATTTAGCCATAAAGACTTTGGTTTAGAGAGAAGCGTTTTTCTCTAGATCTGTACAGAAACATGATTTTCTTATCTAGACATTTAGATCATTTCATTTTCAGATTCTGTGGTTATTTGTTACGCAACAATTTTTCATTTAGCAAAAGAAAACAGACAATAAATCACAAAGTCCTGTTTTAGACAATTTAGGCAATTCAGTCCAACATTTATTTTATTTTGTATCCAGTATTCTATCAGTGAGTCTAAACAGAGAAAAATCAAAAAGAGTCGGCCTATCTCTGCTTTTCTATTTAATTCTTTTTGATATTTCTTTCAATCCCTTCATGAATTTAATTTGAAGTAATGTAGCAAATAAAATCTAAATTTTATCATGTTGATAAATTGTGTCAAACTGAACTCTTGCATATTTTTTTTATCAATGTTGTTCATTATTTCTCTTTGTAAATTTAGACAACTTTTTTGTCGTTTTCTATACAATCTGTTTTTACAGATTTAATAACATTTCCATTTTCTTAAAGTGCAGCAGTGATCAAATACAAACAGTGTAGGAGAAAAAAACGAATTGATATGGAAGTTCAGAGCATTAACATCTATGGTGCCAGTATGCAGTGTTTTGGTTTGGTGTTATCAGTGTCATGCTGGTCCTGCATTGAATGCTGTGAAGCCTCTTCCCAGAGGGCAGCAGGGAAAACAGTCCATGGTGGGGGGGTGAGGGGTCATTGATGATGTCACGGGCTCGGGACACACAGCGCTGGGATGAAATGTCTTTAATGGAGGGAAGAGGAGCCCCCATGATCCTCTCTGCTGTTCTCACTTTTTTTTTTAATTCACATAAATGTGGAAAGAATAATTTGAGTTCAGCAAACATTCATTATTGAAAAAAAACCCTGCTGACCTGCAAGTGTTTTTGTTTAGCCTAAGGTTCAGAGGGACACAGTTATGAGCTATAGAAATATTTAGCTGTAACTTCATGAAAATTGGCATCTATGGCACCTCCAGCCGTCACTGGTGTATATGCTGAGTCATTGTTATTATGCTGAATTTGGCCAGAAACAATCTAAGCCTGTTTTAATGTTTTATTCTAAATAAACTCCAACAGGTAAAGTCTGTTGGTTAAAATTCAAACCAGGAGCAGATTTTTGCAGCTTTATAGCTATAAAGAGAAGCTAAAATAATAATCTTAATAATGTTAAGGATCTTAACATTCTTTAAAAAAAAAATAAACTAAGATATTTCTTTAATACAGTTTATATTGAATGTTTATTTATTTGTGCTGAATGTAGAACAGTATCATATAGAAATTCATATTGTGTGTGTCTGGCAGGCAATGATTCCCGGTCTAGGCTTCGTAAAGATTCACGCGCCGTGGAGCGTTCTCTGTCGAGAGGCTGAATTAATGAAGCTAAAGATGCCCACCAAGAAGGTACGTTCAACGGGTTCCTAAAGTCTTTCAGCCTTTTTCTCAAACATGCTGGGCTATTTTTGTTTGTTTTTATTACTAAACATATATATATAATGTATACACACACACACATCTATATACATACATACATGTAAACGTACATATACATACCTAAACAAACACATCAGGGCAAGAACCACATTTACACCCTTTTACATAGGCACTCAGAGTACTGCAACTCCCCACCCCCCCAATCATCAGTGCCACATCCCAACACCAGTCCCTCCACCTGTTCCCCCCACCGGTCCGACCTCTCGCCCCACAGTGCCACCTTCTCCCCTCCTCATCACGGTACATGCTGAAAAACATCAGTTTGAGTCTTTTTTTTTTTTTAAACAGACTCATGCTTGGACATTGCTGCATCTCTTTTTTGAGTTTCTTCCAGACATTTATAGCACTGACTGAAATGCACATTCTCTTCATGGTGGTTCGAACCCTCAAGGTTCTGGAGTCAAGGTTTTCCCTTTAGTCATAGCCCCTGACTCGTGCTTGTGCATGCTATGATGCATACACAGGCAGTGACATTTAGAACATAGTATATATGTTTGAAGTTCTAGTGTTTCAGCCCCAGTGTTGAGATGTTTTTGACCAGAAACTAAAGGCATGCGCCTTAAAATGCTTTTTACCCAAAACCTGCTGGAGATAGGCACATGTCGCTGTCCTTGACTCTGATAGATGGATATCTGATAGAGGTATGACAGTGACTACAGGACAACAGTGATTGAGGGGTAACAGGGACTGAGGTCTGTCTTTTGTTTTTTTCAGGTCTATGAGGTCAAACAATCAAGCAGCGTTGTGAAGAAAATCAGCTCCCTGGTCAATAAAGCTCTGGAGCCGTTGCGTCCTAATGTTGAGGAACATCATTCCAAGAACATCAAGCACCTGTCCCACTCATTCTCCAGGGAGAAGCAGCACCTGTAAGCTAACATTTATATCTAGTCAAAATGTCAGCTGGGAGAGGAGTGTAACATTCTGTAACATTCTAGAAGTGTTTGCATCACAAACAACACAGCTTCCCCACAGAGTGTATATTAATTATTACGGCACCAATTAACCCATAACAACACTACCATCACCAACACTATGCAGGCATGGATCTTTAAAAGGAAAAGTGAAGCTGCTTTCTGATCAATAAATATCTGACCACTTCCAGAAATTCCTGAAACTCTGAATCTCCTAGGTGATCAATCCCTCTATTATATATATATAATATAATATTTATTATATTAACAGAACATCTCACTGCAGCAGCAGCAAAGGATCCATCTTGTCTGGCAGAACTGTGAGAATTGCACAAGCTCAGGGTTTTGTTGAAATATAAAGAAGTCAGCTATTAAGTAATGTTTGAAGCAACAGGTCAATGCTGTTGAGCTATATAGTCAGATAAAAAGTAGTTGTTTCCATGAGTCTGGTGCAGACCGGAGCAGAAATCTGGCAAGACGTTGTGCAATGTTAATCCTGCCTAAAGGTGTAGATCAGACCTGTTCTGTTGAGCTTCTGTCAGTTATAGTTCCAGTGAAATCCTCTCAGAGGCCAAAGGTTCACAGATCATCAGATCCAGATTTTCTTTAGCAGGAAAGGCTTCCAGGTTTTCTCAGTGGAGCTATGTCAGTGTTACTGTGCAGAGTTACATTGGCTGCTGTCTGTAAATGCAGTGACTGAAAGAATCAGCTGACTGTCATTTTAGAGGCAATTATTGAACAGTCGGAATTCCAGACATGTTCTAACAAACAATGAATTAATGAATAAATTAATTGATTATCCACACAGCAGTGACATGAAATGTTGTTGCACGGTGAATAAAAGTCCCCTTAAAGATGTTGAAAGGCCTGTTATGGGATCAGAGCGACACAGGAAACAATGGTTTTATATATTAATATAAATAAATATGTTTTAAAAACACTTCGCTTCTCGCCCAATGACTGCTGGAGATGGGCACCGGCACCCCTCGCGACCCCACTCAGGATAAACGTGTTAGAAAATTGATTGATGGACGACATACTAAGACCTTCAGATGAAAACTGATCACGATAGACGCCTAACAGAGCAGAGTCTGATGAGTCTTATGAAGTGGCCATAAAACGGATCATTTGGACATCAAACCTTTTATGCTTTTTAAAAAGTAGAGTTTTGTTTGGAATAATATTAATAGTTCCTGAAAAAGACAAAGTGATCTGTTTTCATTTTTCTGTGTTAACAGGTTTGACCTCTCAGACAAAGATAACTTCTTTGACAGCAAAACCAGGAGTTCCATAGTAAGTCCCAGTAATAAATCCAAACCTGACTGTTCTTCCAGAAACAAACTTTTATCCATGAACTAAACTATGCAAAGCAACAAAAGGGTTTGTTAAACTTGCTGAACTGTTAATCATTTGGTAATCCAGACTGGTCAGTTAGCTGGCTTTAACTGATGATCTGAAGAACATATTCAAGTTTAATTAAATGACTAAAACCAGCCCCCTTGGTCAATCTGTAAATGCACCAAGGAAACTATTTTTAACTAAATAATACAAACAAAACAAAAACACTGTAGAAATGTGATAAAGGTTCTGGATAACATAATTCCTTTAGCTGTATGTTGAACCAAGCCCTGCCAGGTAGACACCTGCATGTAAATGTTTTGCTGTTGACACCATGCCAATAACTTTGTTTATTCTTTATTAGGTGTATGAAATATTAAAACGAACCAAATTCAAGGCTAACTACAGCATGGGTGAGTCTGAACCTACTTCTGTTCTGCTTTGCATCACTCCATAGCCCCAACACTATGGCATGATCTTGTCTTTATTGTAGAAATTCAATGTAGATAAAATAGAAGATGCATGTTTTTCATATATCATAATCGGTCATGTTTCAAATCAATGTAGGATAAAAGACATTGATACCATCAGCCCAGTTTCCTGGGGCCACAGAAGCAGAGATAGTAACAAGGCTCAGGTTTAAATATCTCCTGGGACAGTCAGAGGTTTCTGCTTAAATTAACAGGTTCTAAATCAAACTCCAGAAAGTGTCGTGATTCTCCCCTTTCTGGACTTTTTGGTTCTTTAAGTTTAAGTTAAATTTTTGAGTTTTCTGTTAAACTGTGATTTATGTCATTGGTTTCTTTTACATTTTGTGTGATTCTAGTTGTTTTCTAGTTATATTCAAGGTGTGTTGTATTTTTTTGAGTTACTTTGTCTCCCCCTTGTGCCAGTCTCCTTTCCATTTGCAATGAGGAACTGAACAGGAGGTGTATATATGGGAGACAGAACAAAGAATGGGCTAATCAGCTGATAGGGAGCAGGTGTGGATAGAAGCAACTAGAAGGGAGCCTGGGGAGAGCAGACTGGCACAAAGGGGAGACAGAGAGTAACTCAACAAATACAACACAGCTGAAATATAACTAGAATCACACCAATATAACACCAATATAACTAGAACTATGATCGCACAAAATGGAAAAGAAACCAATGACCAAGAAAACACTGAATGACATGAATCAAAGTGTAACTGAAACACTTAAATTTGAACTGAACAAAAAACACCAGAAAATGGTATTAAGCTTAAGCAGCAGGATCATGATTGAATGCATACCAGCATGTCAGCAGTGATGTTAGTTCTATTAAGTGTTTGATGCTTCCTACTGAACAGTAATGATGTGTTCCAACAGAAGAAGCACTGAATGAAATAATGTCAGTGGAAAACCACCTGCAGGACATACAAAGAGCCATGATTGGGAAACTTTAAATGTCAGTCCCTAAGGCCAAAATAACAGACCAATCCGCTCCATTCAATGATAAGATCAAACACAGAAAACCAAAAGCTTCATCCGTTGAGCTCCCAGTTCTAACGGGAGAGACATGATGGCGAACCCCTACCTACCAGCTTCCACTGAGAACCAATAAAATTCCCCTTCTGTTCAAATGTTCATTACTCACACGGAAAAGGCCAAGAAGCAAAGTTGTACCACAGTGAGAGATCATTTAGCTCCAGCCATCTAATCATTTCTTTTGTTTACTTGATAGGGACTGACACAGCAACATAGATAAACTGTTGTGAAGCCTGATGTTTGTATCATAAAGTGAAGCTAATTCAGAGCACTTGTCCCTAGATGGGTTAAAAAAAACATAGTTAAAAGTAGAATACAGCAACATAGCAAAGTGGCCCTCATGGTGTTCACAGGACTAAAACAGCAAAGAGGAAAACTAATTAATTCTGCTCAATAATTTCCTGGTTTGCAAGAAAGTTGAAGTTCACTCTCATCTGATCAGAACACCTTTTCTTCCAGCCTCCCTACATTGCATGCTCCAAACTGCCAAAGATATTTATTCTAGGTTTTTCTGTAAGCTTCCCTTTAGTCCTTTTAAAGTTCACCTGTTTGTGACGTAAACCTTAATAATATGCAGTGGCTTTTTAGTTGTCATTTGGTTCAATTCCTTTGACATTAATTTGGCCTGTATAGATTTTTTTGAAAATAGATGGTGCTGTAAATGTCATGACTCAGATCAGGGTACCCAGTATTCAGACAAGACAGACGGATTATTCAGAAGGTGTTTATTAAAACTATGGGCCAGGGGGTCTGCAATGGCAGCGGCCTGAGCGTCTGAGGCAGGAAACTCTGGATTACAAGTTCAGTCCATAATCAGAGAATGAGGTAGGATCCAGCCAGTGGGCTGCCAACAAGATGAGGTGGGCGCTGCCCAGAGTGTCCCAAAGAACATGCAGGAGTCCGAAGCCAAGTCAGGCAAACAGATCAGCAGTGGAGAGGCAGAACAGGTCAGACTCAGGTAATCAGAAAGACTAACAAGAATACTCTGGACTCGATGACTGGATGCAAGCAACTTAAATAGAGGCAGGAGCAGGTGGATCCGATGAGCAGAAATGAGAAACTGGGCAGAGTTAGACAGGTGAATGGAATGAGTAATTAAGCCATTAATCAGTGCCAAGATCATGACAGTAAATGTAACACAGACAGGTGTAAATGCATTACTGATAGTTTGCTATAACTCCTTTTTTGGATTTTAGGAGTTATATCGTTACCTTTCCATGTTCTTGTCTTCTGCAGTAAACTGTTTAGGCTGAGATTCTTTCCGTAGTGTTGAAGCTGCTCTGTTGCTCTTACTTACTTTTTTCATAACCATAAGTTAAACTGATTTTATTATAAGAACAACGAAGGTCAGAGATGTGTGATTCTTTTCATGTGATCTTGTTTTTGTTTTTCCCTGACAGGAATCACCAGTCTCCTTGGTAGTGGGATTTATACAGCAGCCTATCCTCTTCATGATGTAAGCAATGCAAATGCACAAAACCTCACATATGTCCAATACTGATGAAGTAGACGGGGAGGGGTGGAAAGGTGCACTGCTCTCATGAGGTTTACCTGATCTCTGAGGTGTCTTTCCGTCTGGAGCTGGCTTCTCTGTGTTGAACCAATCATCCTTTGGGATGTTTAGTTTCTCCATTCTAGAGGTTTGGACATTCCTCAGGGAACTAACTTACACAAAAAGGATAACTCAGGGAATTTTGCCACAGGATGAATGGACCTCATTCTTAGGTTGTTGTAAGGATTAACTTTTCAAGCCCTGAGTTAAATAAAAGCTTCTCTGATGATGGACGAAGCCATTTGTCTGTTTGTTTCCCCCTTTGATATTTATCAGAATATTCTCTTTTCTTTAACATTTTTAATCTTAACATCCACCTATTTTTAAGCAAAACTCACCTTTTTGCATGCCCAAATAGAAAAGCAAATTACTAAGAAACTGTAAGCCCAAATTATACGTCTGATACATTATTTGAAAGTTAACACCTTCTAGTGAAAATATTAATGAAAACAGTGTTACTAAAACACACCCTAGACTGCAGCAGTTAATACAGGACTCATAGTTGGGAGTTTTTCTTCTCGAAAATGATAGGTCATTTTTGAACAGCGGTAACAAAGACATGCTTGAATATAGGCATCTCTCATTGTATTACATTTGTTCTGCCACAACTGCAGAACATTTCAGGACTCTAGGTATAACAGTTCTAGACCTGTGGGACTTTTAACTTCTGGAGTCATTAGCATCTCCAAGCCTCTGCAATTATGCCCCAAATTGTGCTTATTGCTTTTACACAACAAGTTTACCCCAAAAACCAAACTGGAGCCTTTTGATGGACACAGAACATTTTTGAAGCAAATATTTGTTAATTTTTCTAACATTTTTTCTAACTATCTAACAGTGTGCAATGACCCAGGTTTAGATCTTCCGTTGTGCCTTTACGCCCGGCTATATATCCAGGCTGCACTGTTAAAATGACCCATGTTTAGCCTTGTTTTAAAGGTAATTCACTCGGTTACAGATCCAAACATTTCCTGTGGACTTAACCAATAGCAGACGGACTTTAGGAGTAGGCGGCTGAGAAGGAGAGGGTAAAAGAAAATTGACTTTATGTGACGATTTTCTCCTCATGGAATGTTTTTATTACAAATACACTGGATTAGTTTTTATTGGGGGACTCTTATGGACAAATGTAATATAAACAATCTAAGATTGGATTTTTCGCTTCAGAGGTAGGAAGTCAGAGCTTTATTTTAAAAATTCTGATTTAACATGCTGCTATACACTCACCGGCCACTTTATTAGGTACACCATGCTAGTAACGGGTTGGACCCCCTTTTGCCTTCAGAACTGCCTCAATTATTCGTGGCATACTGTAGATTCAACAAGGTGCTGGAAGCATTCCTCAGGGAGTTTGGTCCATATTGACATGATGGCATCACACAGTTGCCGCAGATTTGTCGGCTGCACATCCATGATGCGAATCTCCCGTTCCACCACATCCCAAAGATGCTCTATTGGATTGAGATCTGGTGACTGTGGAGGCCATTTGAGTACAGTGAACTCATTGTCATGTTCAAGAAACCAGTCTGAGATGATTCCAGCTTTATGACATGGCGCATTATCCTGCTGAAAGTAGCCATCAGAAGTTGGGTACATTGTGGTCATAAAGGGATGGACATGGTCAGCAACAATACTCAGGTAGGCTGTGGCGTTGCAACGATGCTCAATTGGTACCAAGGGGCCCAAAGAGTGCCAAGAAAATATTCCCCACACCATGACACCACCACCACCAGCCTGAACCGTTGATACAAGGCAGGATGGATCCTTGCTTTCATGTTGTAGACGCCAAATTCTGACCCTACCATCCGAATGTCGCAGCAGAAATCGAGACTCATCAGACCAGGCAACGTTTTTCCAATCTTCTATTGTCCAATTTCGATGAGCTTGTGCAAATTGTAGCCTCAGTTTCCTGTTCTTAGCTGAAAGGAGTGGCACCCGGTGTGGTCTTCTGCTGCTGTAGCCCATCTGCCTCAAAGTTCGACGTACTGTGCGTTAGGAGATGCTCTTCTGCCCACCTTGGTTGTAACGGGTGGTTATTTGAGTCACTGTTGCCCTTCTATCAGCTCGAACCAGTCTGGCCATTCTCCTCTGACCTCTGGCATCAACAAGGTATTCCCGCCCACAGAACTGCCGCTCACTGGATGTTTTTTCTTTTTCGGACCATTCTCTGTAAACCCTAGAGATGGTTGTGCGTGAAAATCCCAGTAGATCAGCAGTTTCTGAAATACTCAGACCAGCCCTTCTGGCACCAACAATCATCCCACGTTCAAAGTCACTCAAATCACCTTTCTTCCCCATACTGATGCTCGGTTTGAACTGCAGGAGATTGTCTTGACCATGTTCTACATGCCTAAATGCACTGAGTTGCCGCCATGTGATTGGCTGCTTAGAAATTAAGTGTTAACGAGCAGCTGGACAGGTGTACCTATTAAAGTGGCCGGTGAGTGTATGTTTATTAATTGTGCTTTGGTGCTTAGGGGGTCCATAAAATGAACTTGCCGGTTGGATGGTTCAGAATCTAAGCTTTCTAGTGATGTTTAACATGTCTATGTAAAAGTTTAACCAGTGTTATTTTCAAGCGTAGCACTGTGTTCAATCTAAATCAGCGGTCACCAACCTTTTTACAGTTGAGGGCTACTTCAGGGGTACTCTGTGACAGGAAGGGCTACCAATACTGACCTATGAATTGCAAGGGTCAGCGTTCACCTAAACTTCATACATTATAAACATATCTTTATCGTTTCTTTAAATTTAGACATTTTCATTTTGAAATCTCTAAAAATGCTTAAATGCCATATATGATTAAATGATGAAATGTTCCATAACTGATTAAAAAAGAAGAGCAACAGAATACAATGAAATTTCAAACGTAGCTCACTGTTGAGTTGTTCTATTTTCAGAAGACTCTAAGGGCACCCCTTTGTGGTCCTTGAGGGCCCCTTGGTGCCATGCGGGCACCATGTTGGTGACCCCTGATCTAAATACACAAAGCTGTGCGGTGGGGAACCAGTGGAGGTTAAGACATTCAATTTACATTTTCTAATCATGCAAAAGCAATTATATCCTTAATGTGAGTTTACCATGAGGATCTAATCTGTCTCTCTCAGATGGTTAAATAATGCTTCATTACAAAAAAAGAAAATTAAAAACAATCCACTGGACTTTGTTTCCAAGTTTGAAGACGTTTCTCTTCCATCCAGGAAGCTTTTTCAATACAAAATGTCAGAGATAGAGTTGAGTTCCAGGTTTTATTCAGTAGCCCCCCAAAAAGCCCTGTTTTTGTTTAGAAAACATGCTAATTGGAAAAGATGAAGTGGTCCACCCAGTTTGAATGCTTCATTATATTTAGTCATTTAGTCCAATAACTACATTGTTCTTTTCTTAGGGAGCTATTGAGGAGGAAAGTGCTGAACCTAACGACAGAAAGGTAAGAATGGAATTAGCTCTAAGAGGAACATTTTATAACCCTTAATAACTCCTACAGCCCTCAAATAAAACAGAATCCGTTTTAATCCCCATGTTTGACTACTCTTCCACTTTGCTCTCATTGAAGAGGAAATAAAAACTTTGTTCTGTTAATATGTACAGTGTCTAAACAATAGAGGGAGAAGGGTTCGGATTGGTGGAAATGTGAATGGAATGGATATGGGCACGGTGACTTTATGCAACAATAATGCAACCCATTCCTCTATTATCTCCTCAGCTTTTGTATGAAGAGTGGGCAAACTACAGTGTCTTCTATAAGTACCAGCCCATTGGACTTGTTCGGTAAGCAAATGTTTTCCTTTTACAACTTTATTTTTATTAAATTTTAGTTCAGAAAGTGAACCAGAACAAGTACAGCCAGTTATACATCTGTCAAGGTTGGGTGGAGGTTTTTTGGACCCAAATGTAGAGATGAGTTACAGATTTAATAGTGATGGGCCCATTAACACTGATGTGTGGCTGCATGTGTGGAGCGTGTGTTTCCAGAAAATTATGTGACCGATCCAGGAGTTTTTTGTAACAGACTGATTCACTAAACTGTGTTTAAATGATGCATTTACTAAAAAATAATGTGTTATGTTTTGTGGTTTATCGTTAAAATGATCCAGAATTTTGGAGCCTAATGGAATATGAACGTTTCAGCCCTTTTTATTTCAATTTTCTTATTGTGTCATCATTTTCCTCTCAGTTATCACTCAACTTATCTTAATTAAAGTTCATTTTAAATTTATTCTTAGTTTCTTTACTGTTTTTACTGCACTTATTGTTTTAAAAATATGATTTAAAATCCTAGTCCACAATCAGCCTTATTCACATTTTCCCCTAAATGTTCACCTTGTGATAAATGTTTACAATATTTATTGGCTGCATCTAAAAATATCAAAGATATTTTCAATTTTACCATAGATATGAAATAATGCAATGTGATGTGAACAACAATAACTTCAATGATATCATGTACTGGGTCTTCAAATCTGTCCAGCCGGTCGCAGCAGCAATACAGTTTGACTTCATGATGCCTCATTAACCCATCACAAAGGCTACGTTCCCTCGCAGCCTGAAGTGACCCAAATCACATTTTTTTGCCCATGTGCGACCTGGATCTGATCTTTTCACGGCAGTCTGAACAACACAGATCCGATTTTTTTCCCATGCAACCCAGAACACTTGGCTATGTGGTCCTGAATCGGATACGAATCTGATAGTTTCAAATGCGACCTGCGTCTGAACAGCCACGCCGCGTTCATCTGACCTGAACGCCATTAATACCTGAAAAAGGTCACTATTCTGCTTCTTGTAATGAAGAAAGGGCAAGAAAAACAACAACAATGGTGGACGATAATGTGAGAGCAGTATTTAAGTTTAACCATCTTGGAAAGATTGAGTTTTTAAGGTTGGGAAAGATCACTAGATATTCTCCAGCACTACCATCCATGTTTATTTCCGTAAATACGAAGCACGCTTGCTTGTGACGTCATTGCGTCCTCTACTGTGCATCCGGGACACTTAGGTTGTATGAATGCAGTTCACACATGAGATCACATACAAGTCACATATATTTGGAAATGTGAACAGCTATGCAAAAAAATCGGATTTCACAAAAAAAATTGTAATTGAGCATCAAGGACTGCAGTGTAAATGTAGCCTAAGATTTATTACGTTTCCACAGACAACTGAGGCAAAAATCCAAAAATCAAAAATATTAAAAACCAAAATCTATGAGAACTTCAGGAAAAAACGCACATGAGGAGCCAGGAAACGATGGAGCAACAAAACAACCAGGAACCAGCACTGAGTGACTGCAGAGGTGGTGTATATAAGGGGAACAGAACAAAGGATGGACTAATGTTCAGGTTGAGAGAACCTGCCCATGATGAGCAAACATGAAGCGACAGTGGAGAGAAAAAACTTCCCGTTGGGAAGAAACCTCTGGCAGAACCAGGCTCAACATGGCGGTCTCCTGCCG